AAAGGCTAGCCCTCCTGAAGGCAACAAAGGAAACAAGCAAAGGCTAGCCTGGCAGAACCTGGTTTGGAAGGAATTAAACAGGGAGTTAATTTTTCCTTACGGCAACAATGGAAAGGAACAAAGGCTAGCCCTCCTTAAGGCAACAAAGGAAAGGAACAAAGGCTAGCCTCACAGAACCAGGTAGTTAATCTTTCCTTAAGGCAACAAAGGAAAGGAACAAAAGCTAGCCCTCCTCGAGGCAACAAAGGAAGGAATTAAACGGGGAGCTAATTCTTCCCTAAGGCAACAAAGGAAAGGAACAAAGGCTAGCCCTCTTTAAGGCTACAAAGGAAAGGAACAAAGGTTAGTCCTCCTTAAGGCCACAAAGGAAACAAACAAAGGCTAGCCTGGCAGAACCTGGTTTGGAAGGAATTAAGCAGGGAGTTGATTCCTCCTTAAGGCAACAAAGGAAAGGAACAAAGGCTAGCCCTCCTTAAGGCAACAAAAGAAACAAACAAAGGCTAGCCTGGCAGAATCTGGTTTCGAAGGAATCAATCAGGCAGCTAATTCTTCTTCCTTGAGGCAACAAAGGAAAGAAACAAAGGCTAGCCCTCCTTAAGGCAACAACGGAAAGGAACAAAGGTTAGCCCCCCTTAAGGCCACAAAGGAAACAAACAAAGGCTAGCCTGGCAGAATGGTGTGGCATGAATTAAACAGGGAGTTAATTCTTCCTTAGGGCAAAGGAAAGGAACAAAGGCTAGCCCTCCTTAAGGCAACAAAGGATTGGAACAAAGGCTAGCCCTCCTTAAGGCAACAAAGGAAACAAACAAAGGCTAGCCTGGCTGAACCTGGTGTTTTGCAATGAAGTGTGATTTACTGCCGTGGCCTTTTCTTGTCGTTTAGTTTTGTGAGGGTATGTGATTGGACCTTGGAAAACAGATCTCAGACATGACATGACGGTCTGTGATTAGAATTCAGACATGAAATGGTGTGCAGCTGTTGTTGCGTAGTGAGTCTGTCCCTGGGCGTTTTTGCAATGAAGTGGCATTTCCTTACCGCCGCGCAATGCTTTGTTCATGCTGTGGTGATTTACCGCCGTGGCCTTCACGAGGGCCAGCGGGATCAATTTGTAGATGCGCCGAATGGTCTCACAGCTGAGTTGCCCGCAGATGGTTGGCAGGAACAGGCGGTACTGTGCGGTGAGGAAGACGCAAATCCAGGAGAAACAGTTCCGCTGAGATCGAAGCGGGGGAGGAAAGGCAAAGAGTGGCAGTCATGTGAAGTCATCGACGCAGAGAAAGAAAAGTCCCTACGCATTTGTGCTCTGGACTGGTTAGCAAAGAAGGCGATCATCCACGACAAATTGTTGCTGGGCAGTGTTGGATTTAGGGCACGTTTTTGGAGCATTTTCCATTTTCCAGTTTTTGAAACTGAGTCTTTTTTTTTGAGCTGTCAAAGGAGCTCTTCATCCCGGGACACCAAGCAATGGCGATTTTCCTGGCGCAAGAGGACAGCCAGAATGGAAGTGGAGATGACTGGGGACCACAATGAGAAGCCAATGAAAAAGATCAAGCGAGTGCATGCGAAGAAGTATGGACAGAATGCCACAGCGAGCCGTGCGCTCATGCAGATGGAGCGAGACGGTGCACCACAGGACCATCGGCCAGCTTCTTGGCAACTCAAAAACTTTCGGAGGACAGATCCGAAGACTACAGCATGCCTGTTGGCTGATTCGTTGGGATCGTTGCGTTCCTTTGCGCAGAGCCCGCCAGAGAATGTGGTGATTGATGAGTCCTCTGTGTTGTTGACAGAGGATGATGCGTTTCTGCCCGGTGTTTTTTGTTCTGTCACACTCAGAAGATGAGATGGCCCGTCACATGCTGTTTCGGACGTAGGTGAACACTGCGAAGACTTTTTCGACTGTGCTGACCGGTGGCTTTTTTGATTGTTTCGTCCTGCAGTCTGCCAGAACGTTCTTCAATGGACAGGAATTTGATGGGGCCATTTCGTTGCACCGATGCCTGCAGCATACCAAAACCCATCTACGGCTTGAAGCACGCCGGAAGGACCCTGCCACCGGGGTTCCTCGATTGCGAAACCAGGAATTTCTGCCTGTTTTGGTTGAATTCTTGCGTTGGACGGTATCTTGGCTGACGTTGGGCCATCAATCCATATGGCTTGATGCTGTGCTGCGCTGGCTGCGGTGCTTGGTGCTTGCTGCGGGGTGCGTGAGCTTTCTCCACGCCCTGTGGTTGGGGCGGTTCTCAAGAGTCTGCTGCGCTGGATTTGTCGGAAGAGGCCACAAAACGCAGTATGCCTGTGATGCCCGATGTCTAGCATCCACCTTGCAGGGAAAGAGATGCGCAAAACCCTGGACTCGTGGACATTTTTGCGCTACAGACTCCAAACAGGCCACGCAAGAAGACTTCATCGAGAACCTCTTTGACAGTGTATCAGAGCCGGCATATGAAGCATTGCGCCAATGGGAAGCTGATCAGTTGAATCTGGCGCTACAGCGGTCGCTGGAAGAGAACGAGGAGCATAAAAGAGAAGTGGAGGCCAGCAATAGGCTGATTGACGGTCGCTTGAGAAGAGCTGCAAAAAGAACGCTCTCTGTTTTGGGCTATGGCAACTGTCAGTTCAGCGCTGTGATTGAGTCAGCCAAGCTCGCTATGTCAGTTGGGCAGCTGCGGAGTGAGGTGGTGAAGTACCTTGAGCCGTTAGGCAAAATGCTTCGCGAGAAGATTGAAACTACTAGGTTCCATGAAAAATGGAGCCTGTGCCTGAGGCACATGGAAAAAATTGGTCTTGGGGTGATTCTCTCACTTTGTTGGCCACGGCACACATTTTGCGTCGACCCATACGAGCGATCTGAGCCCCAGATGCAGTCCACCCAGATTGTTGGGGAGACGAGATTACAATTTCTTGCGCCATGGACCGGCATTTTGACGCGGTGCTTCCAGCGTGACCTGCAAAAAAGAACCATGCAGTCCCGCGGCCTCGCTTTGGGGAGGACGACGCGCACACACACTAACATAATTAACCCCTGGTTTAATTCTTTTCTACAACGTGTTCAAGCCAGATTTCTAAAAAGACACCTTCCAAAAAGAATTAAAACATAAGTTAATTCCACACATCCCACACCATATCATAACAATACAAGTAGTTCCCGGGCAAGCCGGCGGCGGAAGTTTCCTATAAGAAGAAATTGACCTATAGGAGTGTCCACGTTCTCTCCAACATGCGCGTCCTCCAGTCAAACGCACGCGCTCCGGACTTTTGACCCACGGGATTCCACGTGTGTAACGTGTGTGTGCCCCCTGCGAGAGATGACACACATCCGGCCACCACGACTTGCCAAGGGTGCGGTCCACATCGGACTGAATGGAATCCGAATTTGAATGTAAAATCTGTCTTGAACTCTGAGACTATGTATGATGAGTCTTGTATGATGAGGTGTGTATGACAAGTGATGAATGATGAGTGGTGTATGTTGAGTGGTGTATGATGAGTGGTGTATGACGAGTGGTGCATGATGAGTGGTGTATGCTGACTGGTGTATGATGAGCGGTGTCTTGACCAGCAGTTGAATGTCCTGTCCTGCATAACTGCAACCAATACTATCAGTATGAACTGAACGCGCACGCCGCGAGAGATGAATGAGCAGCGAGAGATGACTCCTCCGCGTACTACACTGTTCGCCAGCACAACTCTAGTTGTACTACGAAGTCGCCAGTCCTCAGCTTCTAGCTGCACAGATTAAGTTGTACTACAAAGTCGCCAGTTCTCATCGCCCAGCTTGCTAGATACTCCGCGTGCTAAAGTTGTACTACAAAGTCGCCAGTTCTCAGCTTCCAGCTCTACAGATTGCTCCACGTACTAAAGTTGTACTAGAAAGTCGCCAGTTCTCACCATCCAGCTCCACAGATACTCCGCGTAGTAAAGTTGTACTGCAAAGTCGCCAGTTCTCCTCGTCCAGCTCGCCAGATACTCCGTGTACTAAACCCCTCTTCTCAGATATATATATATATATTGTTGCATGTGATCTCTTCTATTGTCTTTGTTGATACCCACCCTGTCCTACCCAATCCTGGCCATGCAGGTCCCAACACCACGGCATGGACCTCATGCCCAGGTCGACCGGGACTCTTGTGAGTCGTGACAAAGTCGTGGTGCTTTGCCGAGTAAGCAAGAAAAGATGGTGGCGTTTTGCCAGTGACAGTTTTTGTTCAAAGAAAACCACTTCTTTCGAGATATACTTTTGAGACAGACCCATGCCCATGCTGTTGCAATATCCAAGATGTGCTTGTCACAAACTTTGCGACTAGAAAATATCATGGCATAGTCAGAATATGTTCCATGCAGCTAGCAGCTTTTGAATTGGTGGTGAACAACCACTGCCCGAAAAATCCAAGTATAGCGTTGCGACCGATGCAATGACTCAGAAGCTGACAAGCAAAAGGGGGTGTAGGGCTAAAGGGTTATGATCCCAACCAAACCCTGAAGGAACCAGTATGACGTATGAATTAATGATGTCATTCAACGTTGGGCACAAAATGTGAGAGAGTTTTCAACTTTGTTGAACGAAGTGGCAAACGTGTGGCCAGTCTGGTCCCATCGTCTCACAGGAGATTGTTTCGCCTCCGGCTCCAAAAGCACCAGTGCGGAAGGCCCGCAGCCTTCAAAAGCATTTGGGTCAAACCCCGGAGTCTTAGAGAATACAAGTAAAGCATTCCAAGAGGAGCGTGGATTTTGGCCCATAACCACATTGATGTATAAAGCTATGTAGTTTGCGATGGAAAAGAGGCTCAGGGGCCAAACCAAGTCCGCCAATTCAGTTTAGTGAGTTCCAATCTTTGTTCTATTCAAAAGTTTGTTCACATATTGCAACCTATTAGCTGGTGGGTCCCAGAAAGCAGTTCGGTCAGTTCCATCGCCAGGCACCCCCGCCTCCACCCAAGCATGTACCAGAGGCGGAGTTGGGGTTCTCCAATTCATAGCATGTTCTCTCTCTCTCTCTCTCTCTTCCTGCAGAGATTAGTTTCCAAAGTGAACTGCCACTGAATCCTTTTTACTGTACCCACAAGGTGGATCCTTCACTTGTATCACATGCAAGGACGAGTCATCGCAAAATCATATAAAGTCCACATCACACAACAGAATTTGGTAGCACGATGTGTTTCATGGACAGTATGTGGTCTAAGCTTGTATCGTGCATGGTCGTCGAAAGGTTTCCGTAACAAAGTGCTACATGAAAGCACAGTCAATCTATATAGATTCTACTTTCACTGTGTTCGCACAAGAAAGGTTCGCCCACGGCCAGCACAAGGGTGGTTTTCGGGAAAAGGATGGAAAAGGTATCTTGGACAACGCCCATACATTTGATGTTCGTTTGGGTCGCCAAGCACTTTTGAAGGCCATTTTCCCCAGCTTCAAGGCCCGGGTTTACTTTCCGCAGCCATTGATAGGATTCCTTGTACATGAATTCAGTCTATTCATTTTGTAAGCACATGCTTTCGTACACAAACAAAGAACCAATCAAACCTATCTAAGTTTTTCAGGTAGAGTTGTAAACCTCGATTCCACGGCTGTGAAGGATTTTTTAGGAAATGCCAGGCCAAAGCCACTCCTGAAAGCTCGCAGGAGCGGGCGAAAGTAGTCGTGTGCACCGATGGGGCACCAATTGCTTTTCCAACAGTGGAATCCGCGTTACTAGAATCCGTTCTCGGTTGTCAACCCAGAAGGCAGTACACGATTCTTTACCTTGGCAAATGATGGACAAACGCGAAGAGGCCTTCCCGATTAACTTTTTTCACAGAACGGATGCCATTTGGGAACGTCCGGGTGCATCGACTTTTGTTATACCCTTGATACCCGCTGGCATTGGACAGTCATGTCACATTTGCCCTGTGATTGCCGAGCTTTATTGGATTCAAGCCAGCTGCAACAGTCATGTCGTACAGTGTCATGTCCACGTGTGACATGTGTTTTGGTTGTGGTTTGCTTTGTCTAGCACGTTTCTGCAGGCCGATGACGCAGTCGGTTCAGAGGAGATTCTTGCTGATGAATCACCATGGGCAAGCAAGAGTGTATCAACGTGTCTCTCACATTCTTGCTTGGTACTTCATAATTAATCAGTTCCCAGAAGTATAATGATCATTAAACGTTTCAGGTTCGGACATGTTTAAACATGTTTAAACTGTGCAGACTCAGTGAATGGCAGGGAACTGTCAACACGTTTATAATCGTTTATAGACAAGCTGCTTTTCAGCATTCAAACCATTATTGTTCATTGACTCATTGATGTATAGTAATTATGTGTTCCACGTTACCTCATCTCAAGACCAGTCAGCCAGGGGGGTTCTGGCCAGGAGCAGCTTCCTTTGCTGGACAGTATGACGGAGGTTTGTATTTTAGAAGTGATGGTTGCCATCATATGCTACGTATGACATACGTGAATCAATCAGTGTGTCAGATGGAGGATTTGTAGTTCAAGACTTCATTGATTGCAGATTTTGACCTATTCACTGCTGCCAACACCGTCAGCAGGCAAGCCAACTTGGATTCGCCACTGCTGTGGTGGAGGCTTGATGGCACTAGTGGAGTCGAGGGAGTGCACTACCACACCAAATCTTGAGACTTTTTAATCAAGACTCTTGGTGACTCTGGTGCTGGTGGCTCACCCCACAAACATCCAACAAAATGGGTGAGGTGCGGTGTATGGCTTCTGGTACATGGCCATATTAAGGTGTCCCGATTGAAACATGACCAGGAGGCTCCAACGTGGCAATGAAGGAAAGGTTTGTTTTGGTGGCCAATTTGTTCTTACACTTGTTTGAAGCCACAATTTTGTATGAGCTCTAGACTGCTCTCAGTTAAGTTGAACAACTCTTTGGACAGTCCTTTAGGTAGAAGCCCCAGCATTCCTTGCTGCGGGTGAAAGTCTTCAGGACAGACACATTCAAGAGGCACACTCTGACGTGGAAGTGTTTCGTTGCACCCTGGATAAATTGTATACTTGCTGGTCCATTAGAACTGGAAAGTCAAGTTCAATCTAGAGTTTGATCTTCGTGATGGTCATCCCTGCCATCCATGTGTCAAAAATAATGCACAAGATGGATGTCCTAGGTGAGCAAGATGTTGTTGATGCGCGATACAGAAGACAAGGCTGCAGTCGACTCATCTCTGTGAGGCAGACAGAGCAGAGTTGGAGCCGGCTGTCCAAGAGGCTTGGAATCCATGCATGTGAGCTGTAGCGGTGAGACCACTTTAAGGGAAGCCAATCCCTTCAAACAGTCAATTTGTTCTGTTCCCAATCATGTCAGGCATATTTACAGTTTCTATTACTGTACTGGACTTAGACCCGACCCTGTTCTAAGAGCTTGACAGTCAATCACTTGAGCGGGAGACAGAATATAAAGCATTTTAGTGGATGATCTGAATGCTTGTCATCACAGTCGAGTTGTGCTGGTTCAATCGCATTTGAACGTGTCACAGGAAGAGAGAACATTGGAGTTGGAGCCAGCTAACCACCAAGAGGCCATGAGACTATTTTCCTGAGATATGTCTCTTAAATGCAATGTTGGTTTGTTCTTGCAAGGAGGTCCGGTGTGTGGCTTTCGTAGAAACCAAGAGGAAAGCTTGCGGCTACAAGTTCAGACGAAGAGGTACTGGCCATCCTTCAACATTCGGACAACTCAAAGGGTAGGTAGTCGCGAGAGTTGATATCGACACTTTATATCCAGCCTTGAGCCATATGTCCTGGACTCGTGGGGTGCAAAGAAAATACAAACATATGGACTCCAGCAAGTGTGCGTTCTTTTGTTTTTGACGTAACCCTGCTTTCTGAACATGGAAAGGAGAAAACACTACTTTACAGGCTTGTTTGCCGCAAGTCATGAAATGACAAAAAACAGTGTCACAGGCAGAGAGGGCATCGGAGGCAGAGCCAGCTGAGCAGGAGGAGCAGACAAGAAGTGTGGAGTGTAGATAGATCCGCCTCCGTCCCCCCCTATTTGAAGTTTGTTCGCCAAGCTTGGTCAAGCAGATGCAAAAGCCTTCTTCTCCTCACCCAGAAACGGCTTTACAGGTGGAAACCGAGATGATTATTCCCTTGTTTCGCATGGACATCGCATTGGCCTTGTTTATTTAATTGTTTGCTTTGAAGCGGCTTTACAGGTGCAAACCGGAGTCATACTACATCTCCCAACCAAAACCTTGATCACGACTTCCCTTGTTTTACATCATATTGGCCTTGTTATTTGTGTGCTTTGAAGTTGGGCTTGTTGTCACAGGCAGACAGGGCATCGGAGGCAGAGTCAGCTGAGCAAGAGGCGAAGACAAGAAGTGTGGAGTGTAGATACAGTAGATCCGCTTCTCTTGCAAATGTTTGAAGTTTGTTTGCCAAGTTTGGTCAAGCAGATGCAAAGGCCATCTTCTACTGCCCTAGAAACAGCTTTACACGTGGAAACCATAGTATGGCCCATGCTACATCTCCCAACCAAAACCTTGCCTATGATTTTCTTTCCCTTGTTTTACATAGTGTTGGCCTTGTTATTTGAATGCTTTGAAGTTGGGTTTGTTGTAACAGGCAGAGAGGGCATTGGAGGCAGAGCCAGCTGAGCAAGAGGCGCAGACAAGAAGTGTGGAGTGTATATAGATAGATCTTCTTTTGCAAATGTTTGAAGTTTGCCAAGTTTCGTCAAGCAGATGCAAAAGCGTTCTTCTACTGACCCAGAAACGGCTTTACAGGTTGAAGCCAGAGTCATACTACATCTCCCAACCAAAACTTAGATGATGACCATTCCCGTTTTTGGTGTCACGACCTCTCGTGGCTTGCACAGGCGTTCGTGTTCCGCCAGTTCTAACATGTTCCGTTTCAGTCGTGGTTTCGACGTGCTGTGGAAGGGACGGGGTGGTGACACGAAGTGCAATGCAGTGGAGCTCCCTTGGAAAGAACACTG